AAAACTATTGATTTTTATTTTTTATTTGAAAGTCTAGTAGAATTCTACACTAAAACCATCTAGCCCCAGGGTGTTTTTGGCTGGCTGGCTTTTAGTTTTTCTATTTTTTAGTAGTTATATGTCTGCTTAAATTGTTAATATGATCTTCATTTAACTTTGGTAATGGTATATATCAAGAAAATTTTACATTTCTTTTAGATTTTCCAGTTTGGTGGAGTACAGGTTTTTAAATTATAATTTTCTGTATTTCTTCAGTGTCCTTTGTTATGTGCCCCCTTTCACCTCTAATTTCATTAATTTGTATCATATTTTCACTTTTTCAATAGCCAGTAGTTGGAAAAGGATTCTTAGGTCAAAGAAAGAGGAAAAGAGGCTACATGTGACACTCTCCTGCCTGTGTGTCTAGAGTCTTCTGTTATATTCCTGGTGTATTCATCTTTGTTTACAGCGTGAGTTGGTGGTCTTGGTTGAGAAGGGCCATTTAATCTATGGTTTGGGGAGTATAAGCCAGGAGAATATTTCTCAGAGACCGGTTAAAGACACCACCATCTCCATAGACAAAGAGAGCAACAAGTGCTCTTTCTCACATATAAGGAAGACTAATATCATCCTGCAGGAAGAACTCCCTCCCTACCTCCAAGAACACTAGAGAGTCTAAACAACCCTGCACATGCCTCAGTTGCCTACTGGAGAGTCTCTGAAATTTCCCCTTAATTGGTGGCAAGTGGATGGTTTATTTCACTTTTCACCACTAGGAGGAAAAACAGGGAGCCGAGGGTCCAGATCCTCTTCCTTGGAAAAGCAGTTTCATTAAGCCAAAGGTCTATTTTTGTGGAGAGCAGCACAGAGTCCACCCATGCTTTCTGTTCAGCAAAATCTACCAGGCGGCATCAAGAGAGGCTGCCATACTTTGGTCATCCTGATAAGCTTTTAGAAACAGTGATCATGGGAGTGTTCACGTAATTGAGTTTAACACCTTGCTTTTTCTTTGACTATTTGTGTTTATTGTCTTGCTTGTTCCTTGACTATTTGCATCTATTGTATTGCTAGTCCCTCAACCTACAACTGACCTTAATACATGCATGTAATTAAAAAGGTATAAAAGCATAAAGGAGGAGGGGGGATGGGATGGGAGTTCTAGGGAGGGGAAATGGGGAGAGGGGGTGACATCTGTATTGTAAATAAATAAAATATCCAATAAAAAAATTAAAAAAAGAAGAGGCTGCCACAAGTTGGCCCTAGTTCTTTTCCTCTGGATGGTTAGCCAGGAGCTTGTCAAAAACCCTTAAGGGGACTGTGAGATGGAGTAACCACTACACATATTTTGTCAGCAACTTTCACAGTGTGAGTCTTTTGGGTTCTTTGGTGTTACTGGGATACATAAAAGGCTGAGGGCTTTACAGGATTGGACATAGATGCAGCGAAAAAGAGAACACAGCAACACCAAGGGATGCAGAGGAATTGTGAGGAATTCCAAGGTTGCTGTATATATACACAAATCACCAAGTATAAGCAACCAGTGATGCTCTTCAAATGCTAATTGGTGGTGACCACGAGAATGATGCTGACAGATAACCCCACAGCATAGATAAATGTGGTTTCTGGGCTCAGAAGCATCAAATGTACAATGTGGCTTTGGCAAAGAGATAATAGTTTCCACACAAGCAGTGAACATAGTGCTTATCAGCTTGAGTAATTATTTCCATTCAAAACCCTTGAAGCCACTCTAAGGAAGGCCTCTGCAAACCAGTGGCCTGGCCACAATCCCCCAGAAGCTGGAAATGGAGGAAACAAAAGATAAAGCAAAAGCCAAAGTCAACAAACAAGAAAAAACACACTTCAATATAGAAGGCAAACACTTGAGTATACTGGTCTTGAAATAGTTTCTAACCAGAAAACAGCAAGGAGTAAGAGAGTAGAATCTAAAACAACAAATCAAGAAGAGTGAAAGTAGTTACTTGTAGCCTGAATTCCATGTACTATCTCAGTGTGGCATCAGCAATCATGAAATTGACCTATGTCAAGACAAAACAAAACAACCAGACAAAACAACAACAACAATAACAACAACAACAACCACCCAGCCTCTGGCCTTCACCCAAGCATGCTGCCATGATAATGAATTAAACACTCCTCTTCACTTGTAAAATAATCAACTCATTCATGATTTTTTAGTGCAAAGCTCATCAAGAAAATCTTGTGAGGTCGATTCCCTCTTGAGGATCCCTCATCCAGTCCTTGCTTGGGTACTTTGCTCACTGTGTATCGGATATGGTTCAGAGAGCCACCAATAAGGTCACCAATCTGGCAAAGAATATGATTTTAATAAGAGGCCTTTTTTATTTATTAAAAATAATAGCTGGGACCCAACTAGAGACTCAACACTCTGTAGGTGAGGCCTCAGCTATTGTTATTCCAAGGCCTTTAAAGACAAATGCCCACAAAATTACAATTTTGAGGGTTATGTTAATTCATATCCTGTCTTGATGCAGACAAAGCATAATATTTTGTAACAGATGGGTCAGATTATTGAGTTATCCTAAGCAAGCAAGCATTTTATACACAAGTGGAACTTAGCAGTTAGCCTGTTAGCCATGTGGCCCATTATCCTGTAAGAAAAGGTGAGGCAGTGAAGGATTTTACAACAATTAGCAGTTTATAAGAATAGCCCAAGGGAAGTTGGGATAAGTTAGCTGAGAGGGAACATTTTTTTTCTTCAAGATACGAGCAACTTCCATATGGCTTATAAGCTAAAATCAATTTGTTTTTTTACAAATCATCCAAACACAGTAAATTATCCTCTAAACATATTGTTTGCCATCACACATCATACCTTTATAATATAATTTTCTCTCAGTCCAGTACTTTGGACTCTTCCTTGACTTCTTTCTGAGCTTGTATCAAGACCTTGGGTATGCTGGGCAGGTCAAGATGTCTATTTATCTATTTCATCTTGAGATGTCCTTGCCTTTTTCTTTAAAAGTCAAAGCCAGCAGCTAAAAAGGGATCACTGGGCAACTTGTAACTGTGCATCTTTCTTTTCTGGGATTGGCATCACTTTTCCACAACATTGTAAGCAAAGGTGAACCTCTTAAGTGCTGTAGGATACTTGCCTCTGAATGGCTTCCACACATCGAGAAGTTTGTTCACTGTGATGGAGTAAAACAAAGACCTGTCATTCTGATCATATAACAAGACATCCACACAGTTATATAGGTACATGTTAAATCTACCTATACCTTATCTTTGTGCCTTTGCATTTAGGAATAAATTCACTACATATAGTCTTAAACTTTTTGTTGTTGCCTCAAGGGATCTAACTTTTCATCTTGCTATTTTTTTTCTAATCTAAGGATTCATTTTTTGATTCCAAACACTCATGCCCACCACAACCCTTCAGAGAATTTCAGCCCTTGTCAATATATAGACAGTGAGGATATGATGGCCAGAATATACAGAACCATATTTTAGTGGCATTGGCTTGGTCACTCACAATTAACAATGGCCTGGTTGGTTCTATAAAAGAAATCCAACCACTCTGAGACTGTACCTCATGATTCTGGAACCAGGTATATCAGAAGAGATCAATTCCCTGAGCCCAAACAGAAAGGCTCAATTAACAGTAAAATGCCTAGTCAAGAGAAAAAGAAGTCTTCTGGAAAGGAAGCTTCACCTTGGCTGTCATTGCCATCCAGGTGGTCAGAGACAGAGAGGGGTGGACCTGAAATGTAGGTCACTCAGGTCTACCCTCTCTTTGTGAACTTCCACTTCTATATTGACTCTTGTGGGCTCAGCTCACCAACGACAAAGCATGGAGTAATTTCATCACCTGATTTGTTACACAGAATCTTACGTGTTCATTTGTAGATTAACAATGGACATCCTTATTTCATAAAACTATGGCAAAGGCAAAAGGGGTGCTTCACCACTGCTCTAAAGCCCTGGCCAGACAAGAGGCATTTCACCCTAGCAGGCTACAGATGATGTCCCTTATAAAGAAGGATGCTCAGGTATTGACATGACCTGTTCTTAGAGAGCTAGACCACTCGATCCGATGAACAACATCATAAGAGTTTCTGTATGGACACATTGATTTCTTTTCTCCCCTCAGTATCATTTTTTATTTATTTTTAATTTTTATTTTACTTCAATCTTCAGATACTTGTTCAACTTAGACTGTCATAGTCACATACACAGCTCTTTAATATTACCTAATCCATGCTGGACACAGGTTGAGTGAATGTCCTTATCCAAAATTAGAGTGCACAAGTATTCTGGTATTCATTTTTAAAACAACTTTTTAATTGATTCTTGCTGCATTTTACATTATGCACCCAAATCCACTCATCTCCCTGTCTTGTCATATATACCCTCTGTACTTGCAACTTCCCAAAAGAAAACAAAGGTAACAAACCAAACCAAACAAAACCGTCTTGCTATAGAAGCAGCAGTATGCATGAGTCACACCGTATATTTTTTTATACAAACATATTAACTTGCAAATGTTCATTGTGATGAGTCATTGGTCTGGTTTGAAGCCTCTGGTTTTTGCTACACTCTCAATACTGGATCCTTACCAGGACTTCTCTCGGATATTCTGTTGTTGCTTTGTGTCAGGGAGGTCCTGCAGCTTTGGATCTGCAGAACCAGCCCCTTCACACTCTCTCATAGTTCATAGATGGAATAGACATTGGGGTGGGCCTTAATTCAAGGATTTGGGAGGCAGAGGCAGGTGAATTACTTGAATTCGAGGCCAGCCTTGTCTTGTCTATAGAGTGAATGCCAGCACTACATAGAAAACCCTGTCTCAAAAAAACAACTCGCTTAATGATACTTCTGCATCATTTTAATCTCTGTCTCTCTGTCTCTCTGTCTCTCTCTGTCTCTGTCTCTCTCTCTGTCTCTCTCTCTCTCTCTCTCACACACACACACACACACACACACAACTATGTCTTTATGTTCAATTCAGTAGTGAACTAAAAAAAGAAGTCCTACAGTTATTTTGAAATTAAGCTTTATTTTGAATATGTAATTTTTTACAGCATTCTAAAATGAAAATTCGGATTTTTTTAAATGACAGTCACTACTACAAAGCTGTTAATGGCACTAATGTTTATGAGTTTAATTCACATCAAGTGTGGATCCTCGGTGACTCAGCTGCCACTCTTCCTACCACCACAGCAGAGGCTGGTCTGTGAAAGGAGAAACCCTGCTCAGTCTGTTCCATCTGTACTCTACTCCTTCCTTCACACTGTGATGCAGCTCATACGATGGGGTATGTGGCGACTGTAGCAATCCCACAGTGGTTGTTCCAGTCTTTGGCAATCTTCATGTATCCCTTCATGCCCCATTCCTCACCCCAGCTGAAAGAAGAGCATGTTCTTCATTAAACAGAAAGAACACAGTGCAGCAACTTCACTACAATAAATTCACTTAAGTACCAAGCCAGAAAACACACTTAATAGAAAGATTCAGAAAAGATAAGCAACTCGTTTCCTGGATACCAATAGTTGAATCACACAGGACTCTGAAAAACACCACAGAGATAGGACAGGATGTCTTTTATCTACATGTGGTACAGAACTAGAATGTGTCAGGACTGACAAATAAATTGGTTCAAATTCTGTATTAACCTCTGCCCCAAACCATGACTGAATCATTATGTTATTATATACAGTAGAACTTCTGCATTCAACCTCTATGGGATATAGATTGCTGACATATATATCTGAATACTGTGTATAGTAACTTACTTCTCAATTTTAAATATAAATATATTCTGAAATTCATACCTGTTCTTGACCAGCCAATAACTGTTGCCATCTGATTCTTCTCCCTCAAAGCCATAGCCGATCACCAGAACAGCATGATTTAGGTGAACCCTTTTACACTGTGGCTCATAATAGATGCCTAAAAAATAAAACCAAAGCTGAGGGGAGAGGCTCCAGGGACCTCCCGGTGACCATGTCATCAACAGTAAGAGAGGCATTTCTTCAGTTTACTGGAATGACATACAGAAGGTAAGACTAAACAAGAGTCTTCACTTTATCAGGGATAAGTCTATAAGCTCTCAGATAGATACATCTGAAATAAAATTTAGCATAAATCCTTTGGTAAAACAGTTGCATGGTTGCACACAGAAAATCTTATTGACTTACTTGTAGGTTAGTCCAAGCAAAACCCACAGAAAACAAAAAATAATTCAATGGAAAAGTCCTTTATAAGAATTATCTACATAAATGAAATATCTGATTAAAATCTCAAAGATCAAACAACTGGAGAAAATTCAAGTAAATTATACAATATGGGACATAAGGCTAATTAAAAAACCATTAAGAACTGGTCTTCTGGAATTATGTTTAAGCAATGTAAAGTAGAAAAAATTATACAACAGTCCTCATATAGAATATAAAATCCACAAATGGAAACATTCACATCAAATACTATGTAAGAAATCACAAGATCAATTTGCCATGGCGGTGGTACAACATTTATGCATGGATTACTAGGAGGAAGACACTTACCACTGTCATAGAATTGGAAGGAACCATGGCTGGCATCGACTGCAACAGAGATGGGCCCCACTTTAGCCACTGCCTTCATAAGGGCTTCCTCGCTTCCTGGGATTTGCACAAAATCTCTGACATTAGCTGCAGAATTCTCAGCGCGGTACCTGCACTCTCTACCCTTTTAAAGTTAAGGGGAAAGAGATTCATTCATTGCCATCTACCTCCTGGAGAACATGAGCTAGAAACACAGAACCCAGCACATTGCAGATGAGGGTTGTCGACTCACTGCTCTTATAAACATTCCAGGAAGAGAAGCTCTACTGGGAGACTTAGAGCTGAAGATTAGCTTACTTGTGTTCAGGGACACTCATAGGTCTTCTGTCTATAACAACTATTCACAGTGGAGAGAGATATGTCTTGTGTGGAGTGGCTTTCCTATTCCCTGTGTTTACAGCAGTAGGAAGGGGTTTTTGGAAAGCACCCCCTCAAATAACCATACAAAGGCTAATACTGTCAGTGACAGTAATGGTGGTTTACAAGTCATTCCAGCACAGAAATTTCTTTATTATGTTGATTAATTTTATCATGAAGCAACACTGGATTTTGTTAAACATATTTAATGAGTTGATCATGTAGTTTCTCCCCTTGAGTCTATGTGGTGAATTATACGTATTAATTAAATATATGCATGAACTCTGCATGTCTGGGATGAAGCTGACTTGATTGTGATGTATGATCATCTGGATGTATTCTGGAATTTAGTTAGCCAGGATTGTCCTGAGAATATTTGCTTTCAAGTTGATTAGAGAGATTAGCTTAAAATCCTCTTTTTTTTTTGCTTTATCTTTTGTCTGGTTTTGATATTAGAGTACCAGTGGCTTCATTTAATAATTTGGAAATGTTCCTTCCTTTATACCTTATGGAGTAATTTGAGGAGAATTAGTGTTAGCTCTCTGTGGAAGGAATGGTAAAACTCTATCCTGAATCCATCTAGCCCTGGGCTTTTTTATAGCTAAGAGATTTTATTTACAGAATCAATCTCAGTTATTGAATTCATATAGATTATTTACTTCATCTTGATTTAACTTTGACAGGTCACATACATCTAGATACCTACCCACTTTTTTTTATGTTTTCCAGCGTGGGGAGATATAAAATTTTAATAAATAACCCCTGGCCTGATGAATTTCCCTAGTGTCTGCTGTAATTTCCTCCTTAATTTTAATAATCTTGGTCTTCTTTCATTTTATTTTTGTTAATTTGGATAAAGAATTTTCTTACAGACTTTAAGGGATTCATATGGTTCATGGTTAAAAAAAAGATGCATACCTATCACCCTGCACAAAACTCAAGTCCAAGTGGATCAAAGACCTCAACATAAAACCAAATACACTAAATCTAATAGAACAGAAACTCATTGGTATAGGAGAAAACCTCCTGAATAGAACACTAATGGCTCAGGCACTAAGATCAAATCTTAATATGTGGGACTTCATAAAACTGAAAATCTCCTGTAAGTAAAAGGACACATTCAACAGGACAAAACAACAACCATATCCATACTGGCAAAGATGTGGGGCAAGGGGAACACTCCTCCATTTCTGGTAGAAGTGAAAACTTTTACAATGATTCTGAAAATGAACTTGGCAGTTTCTCAGAAAATTGGTAATAGTTCTGCCACCAGACCCAGCTATACCACTCCTGGGCATATGCCCAAAAGATGTTCTACCTTCCCCAAAGGACATTTGGTCAACTATGTTCATAGCAGCTTTGTTCATAATAGTTAGAAACTGGAAACAACATAGATGTCCCTCAACTGAAGAATGAATAAAGAAAATATTCATTTACACAATGGAATGTTACTCAGATATTAAAAACAAGAACGTTACGGATTTTTCAGGCAAATGAATGGGATTAGAGAATATCCTGAGTGAGGTGACCCAAAAGAACATACATGCATATACTCACTTGTAAGTGGATATTAGCCATAAAGTACAGGATAATTATACTACATTCCACAGACCCAAAGAACACAAATGACAAGGAGGGCCAAAGGGAGGCTGGTTGAATCTTTCTCAGTAGGGGAAATAAAATAGATATCAGAGGTGGATGGAGAGAGGGAATTGGAGAGCAGAGTGAATGGGGATGGGAGTGGGGAGGAGGGATCAGGTGTAGGAATAACAGAAGAGAGAGAACTCAAATTGGATGTGGGTGGAGGGAGGAATATCTCTAGAATGTTCCAGAGACCTGGGGTGGGGAGAGGCCCCAGGGTGGCTATGGGGGTTATTCTAGCTGGAACTCCTAGCAGCAGGGGATATGGAGCCTGAAGTGCTACTTCCTCCAGTCAAGCAGGACTCCCAGTGGAGGGATAAGAACAGCAACTCACCCACAAAACCTCTGACCTGAAACATGTTCTGTGCAGGGACAAAAATAGAGCAGAGATGGAGGGCATGGACAACCAATGACTGGCTCAAATTGAGATTCACCTCATGGGCAAGAACCAATCCCTGACACTATTAATGACATTCTATTATACTTGCAGACAGGATACTAGCATAATTGTTCTCTGAGAGACTACCCAATAGCTGACTGAAACACATGAAGAGACCCACAATCAAACATTAGATGGAGCTTGGGGAGTCTTGAGGAAGTGTTGGGGAAAGGATTGAGGGACCTGAAGGGGCTAGGGACCCCACAGGAAGACCAACAGAGTCAACTAACCTGGACCCTTTTGTGCTTTCAAAGACTGAATCACCAACCAAAGAGTGAGCATGGACTGGACCTAGGTCCCTCAGCACATATGGAGCAGATGTGCAGTTTTGTCTTCATGCAGGCTCCCCAACAACTAGAGCAGGGCTGTCCCTGACTTTGTTGCCTGCCTGTGGATCCTGTTCTTCTAACTGGGCTGCCTAGTCTAGCCTCAGTGAGAGAGGATGTGCCTAGCCCTGCAGTGATGTGCTGGGTGTAGGTGTGGGGTGGAGGAGTTTGGGATGGTAGGGATTGGGATGATGATGATGATGATGGTGGTGGTGGTGGTGGTGGTGGTGGTGGTGTGTGTGTGTGTGTGTGTGTGTGTGTGTCTCCCTTCTCAGAGGAGAATGGTAGGGGGGATGGGAGGAGATGAAGGGGGACAGAAAGATAGGGGCTAATATTGGGATGTAAAGTGAATAAATTAATTAAAAAAGATACCATGCGATTATTAAACTGTGTTTGCAGGGAATACAAAGTTTTGTTAATAGGTCACCAGAGGGGAACAAAAACAAGGAAATGTGGGTAGAAAAACAAACGAGAACAACAATGGGAAAAGCCCATACCTCTTAAGACCCTTGAGGTGGAAATGGCTGTTATATAGATTATTTCCCTTTACTTTTAGTGTGCCAAGGTTCCTAGAGCTCCTAGATACAGGATGTGTTTCTTTCTCAGTCTATGCTGTTGGCAACAAACTCAGGCAGAGAGCTGTGTTAGTTCACAGTCTGTCCGGTCCATTGAGTAAGTTCATGGCCAACCAAGGCTGCATAGAAAGATGCCGTCTCAGAACCAAACCAAACAAAAAACATTTTAGAAACTGATGAAGAATCTCACCAAATGCATGGAATTATTAATTGCTATCTCTATGGAGTATAGTGTAGGATGTTTTCAATACATTTTATATGAAGAAAAAGTACAGATGCTAGAGGAGAGTCAGAACTAATGTGGGAAAATGTCTAATTATGTTTCCAAGGTTCTCCACAAAACTCACCCTTCTGCCCTGTACTTTGGAAATAATAATGACCTCCAGGTTTCCATATCATAATAATGTTTTCCTCCTATGCTTTTAACCTGTATTTTTTTTTTGTTTGCTTTGTTTTTGTTTTTTGAGACAGGGTTTCTCTGTGTAGCCCTGGCTGTCCTGGAACTCACTCTGTAGACCAGGCTGGCCTCGAACTCAGAAATCCGCCTGCCTCTGCCTCCCAAGTGCTGGGATTAAAGGCGTGCGCCACCACTGCCTGGCTGTATTTTTGAAATGACATCACATTTATATTTTTAAAGGTTTAAAAACTCTGTTTAAGTTGATTTTTATCTTAAATAAAACAGATTTTTAAAAATAATTGTACATGGAAATCCAATGAATAAATGTGATCTAATATTTATATAAAGAGCAATAATGGACACACATAGGACCTCAAGAAACCAAAGTCCTTCAATATAGCAACAGAAACCATCATCCAAACAAAGAGGCATCTTGCAGAATGGAATTTTTTTTTAACCAGCTATATGTCTGACAAATGATTAATATGAAGAACATGCAAGAATTGAAAAACAAAACCAATACGAAAACAAACCCAACACCAAGAAAACGAATACCCAACTAAGTTTGGAGGGGTTAGAACTAATCAGAGTTCTCAAAAGAAGGAATAAGAGAGCAAAGATTTTAAATTTTAAAATGTTTAACATCCTTAATCATCAAGTAAATACAACTTTAAAATTGCTTTGAAATTTCAACTTACTCTGACCAGAATAGCTAAGATAATAAACAGGTGACTAAAATCGACCAGTATAAGTGTCAATAATGGGGGATACTCATCACTGTTGGTGGCAGTTTGGAAATCAGAGTATAATTTCCTCAAAAAGCCAGAGATAGGTCTAACCTATGATTCAGCTACAGCACTTCTGGGCATATAACCATGGGGTCGAGGTCTTAGCACTGAGGTACTTGCTCATCCATGGTCATTGCAACCATAATAGGCTTTCCATAATAGCCAGAAAATAGAAACATCCTAGATGTCTATCAACTGGGAAATGGATAATGAAGTATTTATACATATACACAATGGAATATATTCAGTTATAAAAAAATGAAATTATTAAGTTCATACGTTAGTGAGTGGAATTGGAAATAATTCTGAGTGAGGTAATCAATACACGGAGAGACAACTGTATCAGGCTCCCCCTCTTATACGGTTGCTAGCTCAGGCTTAGGTATCATTTCATAAGGGGGTGGTGGTAGTGGTGTGTAAATGATTATAAAAGAGAGTGAGCATGCGTAATAAAAAGTTCTGTGTTGAGACATGAGAGGATATTGGACACATGAAATCAGAGTTATGACTTTAAACACATGATCTACACAAGATCCATCCTGGCAGAATATCAACATGGACAGTGGGAAGATCATGCTGTCTCACCCCTGGTTGTAAAGCTATTGACAGTTGATAGCTCCTTTCAGAGAAGAGTAAGTTTTCTTTATGGATATGGCCCCTGAGAGCTTACTTATACTTCGGTCAATGGTCTTATACTCATGTATACACATGCAATATTATGTGGGCTTAGCAGGTTTAATAAAATAATAATGATAACAATAATAAAAAGAGTGCAGGAAGTTGGGGGAAAAAGTGTTTTGGGGAGACAGAAAAGGAATTGGAGACAAAGGAATGGTGTAAATTTGACCACAACATATTATATGCGTACATGTAGTACTCTAAGAGTTAAACGAATAAATCAATAAGAATGTGAGTTTCCAGACAGTAGATTGTCTCTGCTGTTGTGCTTTCTGTAGTTTGAAACTACATAGGTGTTTCAGCTCAGGAGTTCTACTTACTGGGCCTCTGTATGAATAGGATTCCTCAGCTGCGAGACCGCCGTTGTCTTTCACATATTGGAAGGCATTCTGCATGAAGCCACCACTGCAGCCGTGGGTAACATTAAATCCCATGCAGTCCAGTAGGTTCTGCTCACTCAGAGGGATCAGTCTCCCTGTTTTCCGGAACATTTGTCCTTCTAGGGATCCAGTTGCACTAAAAGCCCAACTAGAGGCACAATGACCCTAAGAGATGAGGAAAAAGCTGTGAGTTATTACAAGGCTAATAACAGATGTTTCTGGACAATTCACAGTTTAGAATATGTTTTATAAAACAGTGAACTGCATGCTACTCCATATTCAGAAAAAGCGAAGATGACATTTCTTTCCTTTTTAAAAAGATCTATTTATTTTTTATTTATATGAGTAGACTGCAGCTGTCTTCAGACACACACTAGAAGAGCGCATCAGATCCCATTACAGATGGTTGTGAGCCACCATGTGCTTGCTGGGAACTGAACTCAGGACTTCGGCAGAGCAGTCAGTGCTCTTGACCCCTGAGCCATTTCTCCAGCCCAAACATATAGCCTTCTGTGTAGTGGTGTAAGTTGGGACTGTCGTACTGCTGTACCTGATTCTTCACAGGAGTCACATAGCCAAGCTTTCTCCAATCCACATTTTTGGGGACATAAAGAAACTGATGATCCTGGAATACATGCATCTTCTTGATCTTCTGCCTTTGAAAGCCTGTCATAATTTTCACGAATTCTATATTGGTCTTCAAGAAAAGTCAACAAATCATTGAGGGCATTTATAAAGAACTGAAGAGAAGAATTACTATGGTATGTAATTTATGTTACGTCACACTCACCAAATCACCAAAGGCATTCATTGTCATGGTAAAGTCATGCTTCCCCTCAAGGTATTCCAAATTATGCAGTTCAATCATTTTAAAATTCTTTTCCCACACAGCTCTCCTCAGTTTTTCTTCATTCTGGAAAAAATACAAGTTGTGACCTTTCCTTACATCCGAAGTCCAACACGAGTTCACTCAGTGAACCCACTACTCTTCTGGAAGCCATTATCCACATCTAGTAACAATAGAGATTTTTGTCACATAATATACACAATACATGTCTTCAGATTAAGCCTTGAACTGGATTCTGGAATTCATGGTATATCCATAATACAAATATACATAAATACACAAAACCAGGGTTATTGTTGGAAATAGAAACTTCTAGTGTCTTTGGAAACTTAATTATGTCAAATGATGTTTTGATGGGGCACACAGGTGAAAGGGTGTCTTGCTAAAGCAGACAAAGGAAAAATGTTTTCTTGAAGCAGACATAGGTGAAAAGGTATTTTGATATAGGAGACATGTGAAAGGAGACAGGTGAAGGAATATAAAGATGACCCCACAGACAGTGGGAGAGGAGCACCGAGCATTGGTTTGGTTTGCTCTGCCTCACTATTCTTCACTAACAAAACCTGTGTACTGGTTTGTCTTACATAGTGTTGTTGAGCTCAACTTGTGGTAACATCAGCATTGAGAAAAACTCACCCAAGAACTGCTCTTCCTGTGGCAGCTTTTCCCTCCCACAGTCTCTCCTCTACCTGGCTGGAAAGCCTTGTGGTTTCTTCAGTATTGAACTACAGCTGTTGGTTCATGCCTGGTGTTTGCCTGTCTAGAGGACTGGTGTGCAGTTGCTGAGTCATATTTGATATTTGCTATGGGACTGAACTTCTGCCAAAGAAGATCAAGCTCACCCCCAAAGAACTATTGCTAAACAGATCCATTTTCCCCATATCCTAATAAGTTTTCTATTGCTTCTTCTGGGTATTGGGCTACAAGAGAGGTTCAATGCTTATTGAAAGTAGGTCGCAAAAAATTTTTTGTCAAGAATTGTCTATGGGAATTTCCATGTTACTAACCATGTTGTATGTTTTCCCATGTTTTATCCTCCATTTATTCCATTCAACATTTAAACTGGGATCTAGTGTTGGAGAAGTTGAGTCGATTTCCAAGCAGAGGATGGCTAAGAAGAGAACAGCAATCATGTCTCATACACCTAGAGAAGAAGACATGAGATTCTGATTACATTAAAGATTCAGAAGAGCCTTCTTATCCATACTTAGAAATTACTACCACAATGGTGCAGTTAAATTATTAAAACTGTTCTTCTAAAGAATGTAGTACGAGAAAAGTTAAAGATCTGTTTGCCTTAAAGCAGGCACACAGAGGAACTTTGTTTATTGAATAGTAACTGGCTTAGCTCATCACAGGGAGTGGATGAATTTTGTGGTTCAGAAATTTAAAGCAAAGACTTCACACATAGTTGGCTCTGGCTTTGTGCCATTGGTACTGAAGTCACATGAACAAAATATCACTAGTACTAAATATGATCTCAACTAGAGAGAAATGGAATGCCAAGAGTTAGGGGTCACAAGATATCATTTTCTTGGCCTGGAGATATCTCTGCTCATTCCCTTCAGAAATCTTGCTGGAACATTATCTGTAGACAACCAGAGAAAGACAACATGCACTAGTCTCTATTTCCTTTACTTTGGAATGTGACTGAAAAATCCGGTTCACTGCCTTAGTGAGTTATCATGGCTGAGATCCTGGATGTCAGAGCCACCAGTGCAGGGGAAGTCATAAGAGCTGGTCAAGCATATATATACAAGCAACATGAAATCAGCTGAGCAGGTTGTACTTACATATTTATGCAATGTATGTAACCATAATAATAAATAGGAAGTGTCTATGAATTTGAGAGAAAGTAAGGGAGGCAGGGGAGCATTTGGAGGGAAAGGGCATAGCAGAGGAAAAGAGAAGAGAGAGAATTTTAAAATTATATTAATTTTTAAAAATGAGGGAATAAGGAGTCTCTTTAGAGAGAGAGAAAAAAGTAACAGTAAATAGGTGAAAGAGTTGTGCTGAGAAGGACATAAAAATGAGGTTGTATTTACTTTTAAGAGCAGAGCAAAAGGGAAAAAGATCATGTTTTAGAAAAGAATGGATTTTATGCAATAAAAGAATTTCTGTAAGAAAGCTCTACTATGAGAGGAATACAAAGAAAGCTTAAAGGCAGATTGGAAAAAGTCTGAGTAAATGTGCCAGGTGGTACTGAGTCTGTGAGGCAGATGAGACTTAAGGCTGATAGAGAGTTGATGATTAAAGGTTGTTAAATTTTCTGAGGGTCAAAGTTCAATGCGCTGATCCCAAGCTTATATTTAAATAAATGGAATTCTCCTAAGATATAACTTTGCTCATGTTAACATTTGCAAAATTTGACTTAAAAATAAAACTGTATGTGAAATCACCATAGTGACTTTTGATCTTACCAGTTTTGTTAGGCTTTAACTATTTGAGTTAATATTCTTAGCAAGGTCAATATTTATTTAAAAATCATTGAATTCTTTCTCATTATATATCATATATATTACATTAATATGTTATTACATATTACATTATATTTATTACATTAATACACTACATTAATATACATTACATATATATGTACACACACACACACACACACACACACACATATATATTCAATCTGTGACCACCTACATTTTCTAAACACCCAAGAGCAAAGCATAACCAGGAATAAAAGATAATTCTACCAGCTTTGGCCAATTCAAACACCAAAAAATTAATACTCCTTATCTAACATTAAATATTTTTTTCCAGAAGACAGTCAAAATGAGAAATAGGCAACATCAACTGAAACAATTAGTCAGTTGAGGATTCACATTCTCTTTTCAAAAGAGACTCCATGCTTAAGTTCAGATAAGTACCTGTGCTCACTAGGCAAAGCCTTTCTTAAGCTCTATCTGCCCCCTTAAACAGATAATCAGGTTTGCCTCTTCCACTAGTCAACAAGTTGCCATTGCAACATCATATTCTTCCTTGGATCTTACTATTTTAATTGTTTTTGTTTTCTTGGTCTTTGTTCATTGTGTGAGTGCTGTGAACTTTTGTAACCAGAATAGATTGATGTCACTTATGGTTCAGAAGTTTAAAGCTTGAAGTAAGTTCTGAGGTCACCTAAACAATACTTTTCTAGTATGACATCTGACCCCAAGTACACACAAAGGGGAGTTCAGGAGTTTGGGCACACATAATACATCCTTCTCGACTAATATAAAGCAGGAGAAACACTGTGTCTTGACCTTCTCTGGAATCAAAACTTCCTGGTATATCCTCCATAAAGAAGTACAGAAGGACAACATTCACCAGTTCTTCTGTCCTATACTTGGGATGGTACTGGAAACTTCACTCTCACTTTTAAAATATGGAGAGTTCACATGACTTAGAATCCAGAAGGCAGAAACACCAGTGTAAGTGAGGCACAAGGGCAAGCCACTCTCAAGACCACACTCTCAACATTCCAGGGAGTGCCAGGCCAGGGGCATGACACAGGCAATTGACACAGGAATGAAGGACATAGCTCTTGTGAACAGAGGATGCCCTGAATGTCTCTTTGGCCAGGCCCAGATTTCTCACTGGGGACTAGTACAGAGTTGAGACCTTGGGGTCCCTGATTAACCTTTAGCTTATGCTTTCTAACCTCCCCTGTCCCCCTACACTGAGACTACAGAGGTTGAAGAGATGTTGTTACCACTGAAGGATCTGTCTGCTTTCTCAAGAGAATCTATCCCAGACTGTCCTCAATTGTAAATTCCTACCTTCACTGGCCTAGTGGGCTCACCTGGGATGTCTGCTGCTTCTCAGATGATCTCCTCAGGCTTGAGTTTCAGAGGATCTTGAGTTCTACAGATCTGTTTCAGCTGCATCTCCTTTAGGCCTTTGCCTAGGAAGCCCCACCCCTGAGTCCCATCCTATTGTGACTGGATGTGTCAGGGAGTAAACTGGCCCTGTAGATCTTGACATTCCAGGAATGTAGCCACAACTGATCCCATCTTGTCATAGAGTGGGGCAATTCATGGGGTGTTACTGGCAGGCAATGTGACAATTCATCCTTGAGACCTTGAGTCCTGACATTGTGCTTGAAGGGTTTATCAAGAAAAAAAAATGCTTCCAAATAATTCTGTGTTTAATTTTAGCCCAGCACCATTTTTACTTTAGAGAAAGTGGTTTTGGATAAAATATCCTGGAGTGGCTGAGTCTCTATACTCTAGAGCAGTATCTCTCATTTAAGCTAAGGTTGGACCCTGTGTGTATAAAGATGCTGCAGAGCATTGACTTCAGTGTTGGTTAGAACACAGTTAGATGTCATAGGAGTCTTAACAGAGGATCGTCTCCAATCAGGAATTACAAGGAGGTCATCCCAGATGGAAATGTAACATATGGGGTACCAGGTCTCCCAGTGCTGCTTGGCACTTGGAATGTCTCTTTCCTGTCCCCTCATTTGGGAACAATTCCTCTTCCCTTGCTTTATCAAATAAGTCATGAAATATGAGTCATTTGCAAACAGTCATAAGTAAATGGAGAAAAGTGACAGACACTTGAAAAATGGCTTTTTATTTTTTTCTATGTGTTTTGATTTTTTTTCCTTTTCTCAGTATTCACTCTGGGGATGGGGAGATGGCTCAGCAGTTAATAGCACTGACTGCTCTTTCAGAGGTCCTGAGTTCAGTTCCCAGGAACCTTATGGTGGCTCACAACCATCTGTAATAGAATCTGACACCCACTTCTGGTGTGTCTGAAGACAGCGACAGTGTGCACTTACATAAAACAAATAAGTAAATCTTTAAACAAAATTCATACTGAAATCTAATTCTAGAAAACTTGCCTTCATGAGCTTTAATATCAGAATTTAAGACAAAGAGAATTGAAGAGGCTTTAGACAGATAAAAATAGTAGTAGACAAAGGTATGCATGTAAATTTTAGCTTTTACAAGTCACAAAGTAAGGAACATAGCCCCAAATCTAATAGTTTGTAATTTTCCCAATATTATAAATATATAATTAGATAATTATATTATGTTAATATAATTATATAAATACATATTTATGATAGAGATCTTTCAATTAGTTCATCATGTGATTTCATGTGGTTTTTAAGCATATTTTGACTTGCTTGACAACAGTGGAATCATTGTTCATTTGCATTTATGTGCTGATCTCTGCTTGAGGTTAAACCAATCCCCATCTTGAAGCAGCAATCTGAACTGTCACTCTCTTTATGTGGAACAATATTTTTAAGATAAAAGTTGTCTTCTAAGCCACTGTATGTGCTCAGTTCTTTGGCAGTAGGGGCAGTCACACTGATGTGTAAACACCATTTTATATCTCAGGGATATTAATTAATCTCCTTATTGAACAGTAATACCCCTGTTTATTCTCTCAAGCCTGCCATCCACCATCTCATATTTGGTTTGCTTGAAGAGTCAACTCTTCCTCGGGTTAAGTGTTTGTCTCCTACCACAGCTATGTTGAAATGTAACTGCTCATACAACATCATGAAAACATAGAAGCATTAAGTGATCAGGTGGACCCAAAGCCTGTGCCACTATTTATCTGATGCCTAAGGTTATTAGTGTTCTATTCCATAACAACAGCATGTTTTCCTCATCTCTTTATTGGTTTGTGACGTTTGTTTTCTTCTTCTGTGTCTCTTGAAGATAGATTTGGTACCTGTCTCCCCTACACTTACCAATGAACACAAAATCAAAACTTATACCAAGAAACTTATACACCACACACACACACACACACACACACACACACACACACACAGTAAAAGAAACTTAAATCAAGGAGTAACACATTACCTGCTTGTAACACTGAAACTACTTAACAGAATTGATACAGAGCATCTCAATTCAGACCTCTGAGTCCTGTTAATTCTGACCTTCCACTTCCTTGTTGCTGAGGGCCAGCCCCGGTGTGGTGGGTGAAGTCTTCTTTCTCTTCTTCTTGTCAGTTCTTCTTGAGGCAGCAGTAGGGGAAGAGCATCGGCGATGAGTAAGACTAGGTTTTACGAGATTTGGGGTAAGAATTTGATCTTATGAGATTCAGGGTAAGACTTTGGTCTTACGAGACATTTATGGTAGCTGTATAATAAAAGTTTACTTATCTACGTTACTATGCTACTGTAGCTGACCTGCCTTCTGTGATCCTGAGACTGCAGTTTCTGGCACTTATCACCTCATTCCCAAAACAGCAAAGGATTAAGTAAATGGCCTTTGCACTACCTCAGCAGGAACTGCTGGGATCTAATTTATGCCTGCTAATCTGAGTTCACAGGAAAAAAAAAAACACTTAGAGAAGTTATTATAGAGTCTATTACTAAGTGTAAAAAGTTTCCTATGAAAGCTGCTCTAAGGGGAAAAGTGAAAAGGTCCTAAGTGGGGAAAAGAAAAAAATTCTAATAAGGGAAAAATTCTAAGGGAAAAGATTCTAGGCAGGGGAAAAGGAAGGGAAAGGATGGACGACTATGACTACTACGATGACAACGACTCTCTCTTTGTCTTTGTCTTCAGTACTTATACATCTTTCAGAGTACATTATCACATGTTACAAAATTCATCACAAGTTCATTCCAAAAATCAAAACATAAATTGAAAAAGAAATTTACAACAGAGAATATTTACATGCATATCCATTAGGAGTAATTATCTGGCTAAGCATCCATCACCTGTCTAATTCCACAGGTTCATTGAAGGTTTAAAACTATAAGTTATTAGTGAAGTTTTGTATAGATAAACTCAGGCAATATTTTCTCTTCTGTCCTAGTATCTATAATGAATTGTTAGTTCCCTTTTAATGACCTTTGGTTAATTGTTTTACAGCCTCTTGGAATGTGCTCTGAGTAGGAGAAAGTCTGGTTACTATCTAAGAGAAATTAACTGATGACACTTGGGAGACTGGCAGAGTTCTCATTGCAGTTTTGACTATCAGAAAGGGACCTAATAGCAGTCCTACTATAAAAGAGCTTAATAATCATTGATATAATTTTAGGAATTCTTATAGGATCATCATTAAGACTTAAGAAGCCATCTATTTGTCTGTATAGCATCACTACAAGACAGTACATCTCCGTGGATCCGCAGAGATCTGCTCCAAAGGGGTGTGCTATTGTTTAGTGATTGATTACATATGTTTAATAATAATAATAGGAAAAGAATATTAATAGCAGGAATCTTTCCTAAAATAAGTTCCTTACAGCCTTGCTTAATAAGGTCTCACTTGTCACAGATTATATAATAATCCAAGGCAAACCATTTCAGGATGATCACTTGCTAATTATTAGTTTGTCCCATTATGGCTCCTGATAGCTTGTATCATACCTTTGAGCCTGATAGACCAGCTCAGCTAGAATTCCAGCTGGCTATCTTATCACCTTCCATACTTGATGAAGATCTTCCTTCCTTCACCATGCTCCCAGGGGTAAGCTCTGTCACCCAGCTTGTCTGCAGCAATATCCCGAAGGACACAACTAAATCCTTCTCAACGAGACTTATTTTAATTTTTACAAGTATGCTTATTCTGCATCAACAATTCATTATAGAATTACAACACGGGGTGTTGTATGATGCCATGGAGCCTGTACATTAGAAATGTGTTGGAGAATATAGAAGGAGGAGGAAAAGAAGAAGTAGGATGATGAAGAGGGGGATGAGGAGGAGGAAGAGGACAAGGTGGAAGAGGAGGAAAAGGAGGAAGAGGAGGAGGAGGAGAAGGAAGATGAGAAGTAGGAGGAGGAGGAAGAGGAGAAAGAGGAAGAGAAGAAGGAAGAGGAGAAAGAGGAAGAGGAAGAGGAGGAGGAAGGAGAGGAGGAGGAAGAGGAGAAAGAGGAAGAGGAGGAGAAAGAGGAGGAGGAGGAAGGGCAAGATGAGGATGAGGAGGAGGAGGAGAAGGAGGAAGAGGAGGAGGAGGAAGAAGAGGATGGGGCAACAACTGAAAATGCAACCTTTATCTGGGTATAGGTTTTGGCAGAAAGCCCATGCTGCTTTCCAAACAGTGAATGGCCACATACTAACAACATAGAAACTGCATACTAACATTTTTAACATTTTTAATGTTAAATATTAAAAATGGGTGTCAGCATTTTTAATTTTGCAGAAAGTTTGACTGTGGTTCTGATGTCCTCCAAGAACCATACATGGGATCCTGTCAGTCATGTGGTCTTTCTATCCTTCTTCCCTGAGATTCAAAGGATACAAGGGAGTCAAAACATTTTGTAATCAAAATGACAAAGGAGGAACATTGACTTGCTTTGACTCATCTTCACTTAAAATCTCTATTTCTCAAAACAACTACATAATTATTTACATAAGACTAGCACATTCTTTCTTTATGGAAGACTCACAATTTCCCAAGTGTTAAGTTCATGCATATGTTCTCTTTTCTGCCAATTTCCCTAATCATATTTAAACTCACATTTTTGATACTTTTATTTATTACCCATTCTTCTGCCTACCCTGACCCTCCTGTGTCCCTACTCCCTTTCAAATTCATGACTACGTCTTATTTAGTGATTGTCATGTGTCCAAAGTGTGTTGTACCTGCATGCTTTGGGAGTCAACCAAGGAAAATGAAAATAGCCTATATCGTTTGGGTTGTCTGTTTTGGTTTTTTTTTGAACAACTTTTTAAAGATATAATCTATGTTTCATAAAGTTCCCCATTTAAACTATACAGTTCAGAGCTTTACACTGTATGTGCACAGTTGGGAAGCCATCATCATTATCTAACTTTAGAACATTTTCATCAAACTAGCAACAAAACAAAACAATAACCAAAAACAACAAAAAAACCCAAAAAAGGCAAAAAACAAAACAAAAACATAAACAACAAAATCTCTCACTAGCATTCACCTATTGTCCCCATGACCCCAG